CATGCGGCCCAAGTCTGTCAGCTGAACAGGAGACAATTAACAGGTGGAGCAAGCTCCATCTGGGTACATTTTGATTAAAAATGTATTAATTACAAATTTAAATACTGCACAATAAAAAAAATGCATTATTTACAATAGTAGCATTCACCATTGGATAAACGAACCCATTCGACCCAGGCAACGTTAGCTGAAAAGGAGACATTTAAGAGGAGAAGCAAGTTCCATCTTAGTACACTGTGATTAAAAAAATGTTTTATAACACAGCTTGAATTCAAATTGGATTTTCAAAACAATAACAGTTCCAAATATGGACATATTGTGTAACCCTGTGTGCTAATAAAACAGACATAAACGTTCTTCTTTCAGAAAGGTTTTCTTCCTTCATCAGAGTGGTCAGGTGAGAAGTTTGCCTCATGGTTCACTAACAATCAAAGGTGTGGCCAGTACAGTTCACAAAACACGGCTCGAGTGAACCACAGCACAACTCCAGCATCTGAAACTGACAGACATAGGCTACTGGCCTATTCCCAGCAGGGAATGAAATGAGAAATAACAGGCAGCAATCAAAGAGAAGAAGTGAAGATTTCCAAATGCAGCAGCATGGCTTTTCACAGCACGATTCAAATTTGTCTTTTAAACTTCAGATTTAGGTATGCCTCTATATTTAAGCACATCATCAACAGCAGCATGTCCCAGAACTGGCCTCACCTGGTGTAAGTGCTGTCACTCAAAGCAATAGTCTTCCTGGAACCAATAAGATTGGATGCCATACTCCTATACTAAGTTGTAATATTTGTTCCCTGAAGTCACAGGGTCCATGAATCGGTTTGTAAGCACTCAGATAAATACACGTCGTGCTGCTGTCGCTGATGTCGAGCACAAACCTGATCTCTTTTGTCTTCATGCTCGGGCTAATTACAGCTCTGCCCACGATTTCTGTCCATATTCTCAGATTCAGAGCCATATACACATTTGAGAACAGGAAGTCCCTTTTGCAAGAGCTCTCCTGGAAATATAAAAACAATATGTTCATTAGCACCATAAGCAGAAAGAATATGCACTACATCAATGACAAGAACCATTGAATGAAGCCATTTATAATTTACAGTAGTTCAAGACGATCTACATATACACTACTTTTCAAATGTTTGGAGTTGGTAAGATTTTTTTATTTAATGTTCTTGAAAGAAACCTTCTTACCAAGGCCGTCTTTATTTGATCAAAAATACAGTAAAACACGAACTTTTTTTGTTATTTTGAATGTGTTATAAAATTTTGATGGCAAAGCTGAATTTTCAGCAACCATTACTCCAGTTGTCACATGATCCTTAAAATTCTTTTTTTTATATTAATTATTTTTTTCAGGAATATTTGATGAATAAAAAGCTCAAAAGAACAACATTTAACTCAAAACTTTTGAATCATAGTGTAATGTTATATAGGCTATATTTCAGTTAGGGTGCATTAAACAGCACAAACGAATCATTTTTTCCATACCCGTCCCCTTCATAAAATTCCATAACCTGTAGGCCTACAACAGGAAAATATATAGTGATGCACATGATTAAATATTGCATTCTTTTATAAACTTATTTTATTATAATATTGTTTTTCGCTACTTAAAAAGGTCAGTTTAAAAAGAGAATCAGTGAATCGTTTTTAGAAGCGATTCATTTAAATGAAACGTCCAATTCTGAACGAAACGATTCATTAAAACGAATCAAACTTTTCTGAATTTCCCAAAAGAAAGACACAGTGCCGGTGTTTCCAGACTGGGACACAGTAAATTCACAGTACGATTTAGGTGAGTGAGTGTATTTGGTTATCATCAGTTTGCTTGTCTGTAAAGCAGCGTCAGCAATAGCCTACAATATTGTGATTTCTAGTCCGCTATACTAAAGTTGAGCAACTGTCGAGCTAATGAAAACTATATTTAGTAACGTCGCTACTTGTAGCCTAGCTAGTTAACGTTACTACTATATAGCTACACTTATATGGAGTATCCTAATGCACCACTGTAAAGACGGCCAAAAAGAGAGTGAGAGAAAGAGAAAGAGGAAGTAGAGCTCATGAGAGAAAGGGATCTTGATGCGATGTGACTCATTGACATTCAGTCAGGCCCTCATTAAATTAGTTAAAACACTCCTGCAGTATCCAGGGCTGAAATGTGTTTAATAGTCTCAAATGCTCCCTAATTACAATGATCCAGCCTCACAGGCACAGAAGTTCAGCAGTTCAAATCATTTTTTACTGTTATTCGGCTCATTATAGTCCAAGTGTGAGGAAGAGAAGAGATATAGTTCCCCATCAGACAGCCAGAATGCACAGGTGATGATAATACTGTAGCAGCTGCCTATAATGATGCCACAGGAAATATTCAACATTTCAGTGACAAGCCATGGTTTATCTTCTGTTCGTGTTCATGCAGTGTTATTAAAGAGATAGTTCAAGTCAAGTCAAGTCAAGTCACCTTTATTTATATAGCGCTTTTAACAATACAGATTGTGACAAAGCAACTGAACAGCATTAATTAGGAAAATAGTGTCAATAATGCAAAATGACAATAGTAAACACTCATTTTTCAGTTAAAGACAGTTCATCATTGAATTCAGTGATGTCAACATCCAGCTCAGTTCAGTTTAAATAATTTCTTTGCAATCATGTCAACGATATCGCTGGAAATGAAGTGAATTTTGTTTTTGTTTTTACTCATTTACTCACCCCCAGGTAGTCCCATCCTGTGTTTTCTTTCTTCTGTCAAAAGTCTATCTACACAAAATGAGCAGAATAGTGTTTTTTTTTTTTTTTCATCAGATGTTGTGTACTATATTATAGCACAGCTGGAAAGCTGTGTGGACTGCTAAGTATCCAGAACCAGAACTATTCATTTAATAATTGGGATTTTGTATCTTTCTGAAGTCCTGTCTCTTCAACAATTATAGTTACATCAGTAAAATCAAGACAAGGATAAAACAGTGCTCTTAATCAGTATAATCCATTCAATCTCCAAATGTCTGTGTCAAAATGTCTCAAAATGTGCATTTTAACTCCACTGAAACACTTTGATATGTCAGAGAGTTTTAGATCCAGCTCACTAAACATCTTCAGAAGACATTAAGACTGATTAAATATTCAGAAACGAATGGGGAGGGAGAGACGGAGAAGCGAACATAGAAGAGCAGCATGTATTTATATGGGAGAAAGTGAGAGAGACTTTTTTTTTTTTTTAATCCCATCGACCCGATCTCAAGTTCATTGCAACACATTAATAATGCATATAATAAACCAATATAAACATGTCAAGTAACCTGCCATAATTCAGCACTAAGGTCTGAAGATGATGCAAGGATGTGTTATTTAGTTAAGAATCTTGTGTGAGCGTTTCAGTGACAGACAGGAATGGACTGGGACCATCACAACCTATGTATATAACAAACTACCTGTTTAACCAGTTCAACTGGTGCCCAAAAATGGGTCCAGGTCTGTTTTGATCGCAAAAAGCATGGGAAAAAATCAGCACCAAATCAGAATATAAAAATTATTTCTGAAGAATCATGCTACAATTATTAATTTTTTCGGTTACACTTTATTTTAAAGGGGTCATATGATGCTGCTAAAATGAACATTATTTTGTGTATTTGGTGTAATGAACTATGTTTGTGCTGTTTAAGGTTAAAAAAACACATTATTTTCCACATACTGTACATTATTGTGTCTCCTCTATGCCCCGCCTTTTTGAAACGCATAAATTTTTACAAAGCTCATCGGTCTGAAAAGCGAGGTGTGCTCTGATTGGCCAGCTATCCAGTGCATTATGATTGGCCAAATACCTCAAGCGTGTGACGGAAATGTTACGCCCCTACCATACTGTGATGCCATGTCCGGCCGGAGCGACGAGACAAAATTTAAGGTGTCCCTGTTACAGTGTAATTATACATTTAAGTACTGAGTAATATTAATTAACTACATGTACTTACTATATGGTTAGGGCTATGATCAGGGTTTGGTTTAGAGTTATTGGCATGTAATTATGCTTAATTTATTGTTATTATAATAGTAAGTACACGTAACAAGGACACCTTAAAATAAAGTGTTACCATTTTTTCCAATAGTAATAATATTTCACAATATTACTGTTTTTACTACATACATATAGAAGTAGGAGATGGATAAATTAGCCAGAACATAATTGATTTTCAGTGGTTCACATTTGGCCTCATATTTGGTTGGAGCTTCTATCAGATTTGCATTTTCTAATGTTTAAAATGCCTTCCCCAAAGGGAATGATGTTTTACCAGGTTTCTTCCTGGGAGAAATCACAACCCCACACACATCCTCATCACCAGGAAGATTGCGTAAGTCTAATGAAGGGGAGATGAGCTCAGGAGAGAGTAGGAAGACCGTCTTTGTTTTCGGCCAATAACAAGACAGATAATTAGGGATTGTCGACTGGATGCGCATTCACAAGTTTTCTCCAAGACTAGTCACGCAATGTTTCATCAGGTTAATAAGAGTGCTATTTCACGACATGACATCACAACGGCGTTGTAAATCATCATTTGACTGAAGGTTTTGTTCTGCCACTGATCACAACAGAAAGCGAGCCATGCAGGGATAAAAGAGGGTTTTTTTTTTTTTCAAAAAAGTACTGCTATTCTTGTTTCCAAGGGTGATGTTAATTAAAGCAAGCAGTCACCCAAGTATGCCCTTACTTCCTATCCCCGTTCCTCTCCCTCCAAGTATGATCTGACAGGTTAATGCTCAAACTGAAAGAATAAAGCCTGCATATGTCTTAGGTACATATATACCTGCCAATTTCAGAGCAGCTCTGAATCCTTTAACCCCTAGGGAAAAATCCTGCCAGATCCTGCAAGCTCACACTTTAACATGCAAACCATCAGGAAAAACAACATCGACCTGCATCTAAAGACTACATGCGCAAAGGTTGAGGTTTAAGATGCACACCCAATGTTTTCCACAAAAGCAAAAGTATTGTTAGCTGGTTTGACATTTTTTTAATGTTGAGCTCTGCTGCACTCTTGTGGAAGAATTTGGTACTTGCGAGTAGAGGGCTGAATTTACACACACAAACTACACATTGTCCTATAAACAATTAGTCAATCACACTTGAAGTAACAGGTCAGCTGAAAAAGAACACACTCTTATTTATTCACCCTCTAGTCATTCCAAATCCAAGCTATGCAGTGTTGTACCCTGCAGAAAACTTTTTGAAGAACTGTTACAAAGATTTTGCAACAAAATGGTATTCATAGTGGCCAGGCGTCTAAAAAAAATAAATAAAAGAGTAATGACAAATTTAACCAAAGTTAACCAAATAATTGACTTGTGGTTGAGTGTGTAAAGAACTATTCAGACTGATTCAAATAGGAGTTCACTAATAATTCATGAGTCTTTTTGATTAATTCATTAGACCAGATCATGAGTCATTCATGACAGTGTGTGATGAGAAGTATGACTCATTGTCAAGGTTGCCAAACAGTAGCAGTTTGAGTTGAAATTAGTTGTTGGTTAAGTAAGTAACGAATCATTCTTACTAATTCAAACCGATAACACACCAGTTCACCAATGAATCTTGAATCTTTTTGAACGATTAATTACAAGAACTGGTTTACAGAAGCCATTCGTTATGCTTAGTAAGACTCATTGCGATTGCCATTCTGATTCAGTTCAGTTTGGGAACCAATTGTTCTTTGTGAAGCCGATTCACTGAAACTTAAAAGAATAGATCAATTAACAGAACCAAAGGCCATGAAAATTATTCAGTTTTAGTACTTCAGAAAACAAATCTGAACCATTTCATGATTTTCAGCTGCAATAATGCCCAAGTTTTCACATGGCTTTGGTGCCCAATACATATACCTCTCCTACAGATACACTTTCATCCGCTCACACACGCCACAAATAAGGCAAATGTGCATTTCATCTTTATCACAAAACAGGTTTAATTTAATATCTCTTTATTTTTTTAAAATAATTAAACATTTGTATTTATCCGACCCTTTTTAACTTTTGTAATCGTTTGATTTCTGGGGTTCAATTCTGACAAAGTTTACCACAGCATCAGTCCTCCACAATCCCCCTCTCACTCCCCCCAAATCAGCAACTAAGTAAAAAAAGGAAGAGAGAACAAATTCCACTTGGTCAGAAGAAAAAAAACTAAACAAAAAAACAATTCCTGACAAAAAAAAATTAAATAAACCCAAAACAAAATTAGAAGTGAAACCCAAGAAAGAAAAAAAAAAAAAATCCCAAGAGGTTGTGTTCAATCTTTCCTCATCATATACTGGATTCTCCTAAAGAAAAATACGCTAAAGGTTCTACTAGATACAGAGTATCAAAGTACTGCATTCAGATACAGTATACAGGTACTTAACACTGTAAGAAACTCCCTCACACACTCGAATGCAGAATGTGTGTGTGCACGTGCAGTTCAATTTCTCATGACAAGCATCTCCGGTTTTGCTGCTGGAATTCTGGACACCCGCTCCGATGTGTGTGTGTGTCCCATTTACTGGTACCAGTACCGGACTGGTGCTAGAGGTCAAACGAGTGTACAGGGCAGCACATTTGGACAGAAAAATAACGAAAAGGGGGTATTTATGACTTCCTCTTCTTTGCTGGTTACTGCATAGTGCCCTTTTGCGTCTCCTCAAGACGTCTACAATCCAGACCCACTGCTTTTATCCAGATGTTAACGAATAAACAAAGGTCCAGGATAGACTACTCTGCTTTCAGATATTCAGGACACACGGGTGGTGAATGTTGATCCAATTCAGAAACAGAAAGAGGAAAAGAAAAAGCGGGGAAGAGTAAGGTACATAGAGAAGGGGGCAGGTGAGGAAAGAGAGAGAGAATTGGGCTCGTGTTGTTCAGTAAGGATGGCCGAGGTATGTCAGATCAGTGGGATGAGATTCTCGGTTTGTTTGTTTGATTTTCTTAACAGCAGTCATTCATTTCAGTTCTACTGTCTGTTCAAAGTCCTTCCCCCTCCAGTACAGGTTTCTCTTGTTTTTTGCTTATTTTAATTTTTTTATTTCCTTTTCTCGTCACATTCTTTTTCTGCATAATATTTTTAAGGGGGGGGAAAAAAAGATAAAATAAAGTTATTTACAGTGCTTTTGAAATAATGAGACTGACGAGGTGAATCTACGGTAAAGTAAGTCGCACAAATACAGAAAGGAAAAAAATGTGGCCAACGTTCCGAGCGCGTGTTGGAGGCGTTGGGAAAAAGCGGTCCGGGAGAGGCGCGTCGTTAAGTGGGAATAATTCCGTCGCTCTGGAGGCTTCTCTTTAACTCCAGATCCTCCAACCTCTTCCACAGCTCCTCTCTCTCCTTCTCTTTTTTCTTCTCTCTGAGGAATGACAGAATGAACAAAAAAGCAAATAAATATGAGGTATATTTAACACCGCATGCATAAGCAGCATAGAAGTGAAACAACTACGTGTCACGAAAGTAATGAATACAAAAAAAACAGCTCACCTCTGACGATCTGACTTGTAAGTGGATGTGAGTTCATCAAACAAAGTGCTGTTCATTTCCATGAAGGCCTTCAGAACATTATAGACTAAAGCTACTATGGCCCTGAAAGCAGAAAAAGAGAACGAATTAGAATTAAGCATGATTGGACAGGAAATTATTAATTTAGTTAACGCTGGAGACAGTGAGGATAATGCTGTGTTGTGTATATCACATACAAATTAGGGCTGCACAATTAATCAAATTTCTAATCGTAATTAGAATTATGGATGCCACAATTATGTAATCGTTCAAAGCGGCAATTAATCGTTCAAAGTCTACTTGTTATTCTGTTTGCTTAAGATGCGTTTTTTTCTTTCTACATGCTATCTAAAGGGTTTTCCCATTATTTTCATTTTAGTTTTAGTATAACATTATAATACCATTCATATTTTTACTTTTTTATAATTTAAAGAAGAAACCAATCCGATGTATATTTTACATTTGAGGCTTAATACTATTGAAGTTTTTTTTCAGTTAGTGTTTTCAGCTTGTTTATTTTCATATAAAAATATGGCATACAGTTGCATCAAACAATGGTATAAACATCATTCAATGTAAATTGTGATAATCGTAATTAATAATCACAATTACAAGGGAATAATCCGTTTTTTGTGTTTTGTAATACAAATATACTAAATCTTTACATGGAGGCTGTGAAAGTACACTACTGTTCAAATGTTTGAGGTCAGTGATGTTTTTTAATGCTAATGCTCACCAAGGCTGATCACAAATACAGTAAAAATCAATATTGCAAAATATTATTACAATTTAAATGGGTCCTATTATGCCATTTGACATTTTCAACTTCCTTTAATGTGTAATGTTGGTGTTTGTGCATGAAAAAGATCTGCAAAGTAACAAAGCACATGAACTCCCTCAAACGCTGACTGCTGTCCTGAGTTTTTTTCCGGAAATGTACACATGACAGTATCCCTCATTTAAATTATTCCCGCCAAAGGCAAATGCAAAAAAATAAAGAGGAGGCCTGGTTTGTGTGATGTTGCCATGACCAAGAGAAACTGTCCACATATCTAATTTACTGATACACATGCAATTTCTTTCCCAGCTGTTTACTTTCACATACATAACCGACTGTTTGTGAACTTTTTGTGTTTTTGACATAACCTTGTGTGTATTTGACAGTTAACATTAAAGGGTTACTCCACCCCAAAACGAAAATTTTGTCATTAATTACTCACCCTCATGTCGTTCCCAACCCGTAAGACCTCCATTCATCTTCGGAACACAAATGAAGATATATTTGATGCATTCTGAGAGATCTCTGACCCTCCCATAGACAGCAATGTAAAATCAAAATCAAATCAAAGCGTAAATAAATGTAGAAAACGTATCCATGTGGTACAGCTGACACAGAACAGCATATGCTGTTTACGTTCAGTGGATACACTCCAAAATGGCGCTACGGTGACGCAAAAGAGACAAATTGTTGAATAAAGTTATTTTTGTATTCTTTGCGTACAAAAAGTATTCTCGTAGCTTCGTAAAATTATGTATACATAACTTACATTGCTGTCTATGGGAGGGTCAGGGAGCTCTCAGAATGCATCAAAAATATCTTCATTTGTGTTCCGAAGATGAACGGAGGTCTTACGGGTTGGGAACGAGATTAAGGAGCGTAATTAATGACAAAATTTTCATTTTGGGGTGGAGTAACCCAGTTTAAAGAGCCAACTCTCTGTGTACTCGTTTCATGTGTACGCTCAGAATAATAAAAAAAAAATCCTTAAAAAAAAATAAATAAATAAAAAATACCGGACCCCAAACATTTGTACAATAGTGTATAAATTGGACTGAACAGTCACTTTTACATAAAATTAACTACTCCATTAAAATAAACAAATCCGATTCGTACAAAAGTGTATATTTAATTATTTTTTAAAGGGGTCATGTTGCTAAAAAGAACATTATTTTGTGTATTGAAATGTTTATGCGGTTTAAGGTAAAAAAAAAAAAAACACATTATTTTCCACATACTGTACATTATTGTGTCTCCTCTATGCCCCGCCTTTCTGAAACGCATCGATTTTTACAAAGCTCATCGGTCTGAAAAGCGAGGTGTGCTCTGATTGGCCAGCTATTCAGTGTGTTATGATTGGCCGAATCCCTCAAGCGTGTGACGGAAAAGTTACGCCCCTCACCATACTGTGATGCCCTGTCAGGCCGGAGCGATGATTCAAAAACATGAAAACCCATTATAAACGAGGCATTTGTTGCATCCAGTGGGGACATAATTATGGATTATAATGACTTATACTTATACAGGATCACCACTGCAGCGCATCTGAGGGGAAACAAGAAAACAACAACGGCGTGCACGGGTACTTGATTTGCTGTAGTTAGTAAACTTTATTTAACATAACAGCCATTTATGCACAAATTAGATGTATTACATAAATGCCTGATATGTAGTTTATGCAGCTTGGCTTGAAGAAATAAGAGACCAACTCACGGAGTCATGTAAAATAATCCGTCAAGTCCTGTCCCAATAAAGACGTAACTTCGCGTGAATTAAATAATATGCAGCCATGAATGAGCGCATGTTGGAAATAAAAACGTTAAATTTAATTCTCTCTGTTGTCTGCTCATCATTAGTCTCGTGAAGCCGCTTACATATTGCTGTTCACTCACCGGGTTGATGTGGTTGATGCGCAGGAAATGCCCCGGCACGGCCACCGCATGTAACTTTTAACAAGATTCACTTGTTTAAAACACCCTAAATTGTATTAACATTTACTATATAACCATTATTTCGC